AAAAACAAAAAACAAAGCAGAAGTTAGTTTTTCTAGCAGTTTCTCATTTTACTACTTTTAAAACTGCATCTTAGTATTCATTTATTGAGAAAATACATGGTTGAGAAAAGATGCTATGAATTCAATAACATTTAAAAATGATTTTACGTGAATCACAGCCATATGTGCATATATCAAGAAATAGTTCACTTGTGTGAGGCAGTTTTTCAGTCTACAGTCAATTCATGGTGCACATGGAGATTCAAGGATGCCTTACACTAACCTGTAGTACCTTTATTCACTCCAAATAACTACCAACCAATCGGGAAACTATAATTCAAATTTTTACATGAGTGCTTTAAATACCCAACTCTTCTAGTAATAAAATTGTTAACCAACCTTTGAATGCAGCCACTTTTAGTTGTAAAATATTAGACCCTAGAGCCTAAGTAAAATTTTTCTTCCTCCATCCACCCTGCACATGGGAGGCACTAAGTAAGTATTAGTTATGTCAATGAATGAATGAATATTTGAATGATGACTGTGAGAGCTTGACGTCCTACAGTTTTCTTGGCAAAAGTATGGAAATAAGTCCCTCTGAGAGGGACCTGAGTAACCCTTCCAGGGGAACTTAATGTCCACAAACCAGAAGGGAGCAAGAAATATTTCGTAAAGTTGGATATCATGCCAAATCCTTCACCCACAGTTGGTATTGTGTCAGAAAATATTTCTTAAAATTTTCTCTCCTTGTTCATTTTATTCTTTCACAGTGATTGATTTTTTTAAGGGGGCTGGTTTAGGAAATATAATGATCTTTTTGTGTATCTCATCTTTTGCAGATAAATGATAAAATTAATAGAAATGAACTTCAAAAGGGGGAAAAGCCCAACTGGGCTTTAAAAATGCCTCTCATCTGCCTTCTTTTATTAATTTTCCTGTTTCTTTTGCAGTTCTGTCTCAAAATACCTGATGTGTTTATTATTATTTTCTTTTTTATAAGCCTTTGTCAGAATGATGTGCTTATTTTGTCTTTTATATCTAGGTCTTTCACCAAGCTGTCTCTGGGGTGTAGAGGGCATCTCTTTATATTTGAAGAATTTGTAAACATTGGATATATTCATTTCCATATTCTACATGTAAAAAACTTGAGACATCTTCCTGTTTGTATTCCATGTATAGTTATGCCCGTGTCTCCCTTTATTGTGTTTTGGTACAGTCCTTGAAAGACTGCCCTAACTGCATAGCGTCATTTGTTGTAGAAGGGAGAGAGGGCAGGTGATTTTGAGTCAGGCTTTTCAATTGGTAAGTAAGTAGGTTGGGGTTTTTCTAAGTTCTTCTAGTTCTCATAGTACCAACTCTTAAACCGCCACTTCTCCTTGACTTAAAGGAGAAACTGGTTGTGATTATCCAGGAGTACTTTATTTTATTTTTAAAATAAAAATGATATGTGGCTTTTATTGGAGATGCTGTAAAGTACAAAGTAGAAAATAAAGATCACCTGTGATCTCTCCATATCATACTGAGTGAACTTTTATTTGTTTTTACTGTTTTTATTGAATTTTCCATTTGTATTTATTGTTCACCTATCTATAGGATTATAGTGTTTTGTTTTTATTGAAATTTCTGTGGGCTTTTCATCAATTTTTGTCTCTTTCTTGAGAATTGTAATATATACATTTTTCATATTTAAATCTATTGATGTTTTCTTTTGTAATTTTCTTCATTGCTTTAAATTTAGGAAGTGCTTTTTTTAGCCACAGACTGGAGAGATATTCACCAAGGTTTCCTTTTTCCTCTTTTCTTTCACTTCATGAATTGATTCTCTTCTTTTCCAATTAATTCTTATATTTCTAGAGTTTAATGTATGGTATTAGGTTTGGGTAGATATTTTTTACCCAGATACCTAACTAATCATCATATTACTTTTGTTCTTCATTGTGTAATGCTGCATTTATTATGCATTAAACTTTATTATATTAGGCTACCAGGGTAAGATAGTATTTTGAAATTGTCTTCTCAGTCTTTCTGTCTCTGGACCTATTCTTTTGAGGTTTTGCTCATCTGGAGCTTTTATTTACTATTTTGCTTCTTTTTTGGATTTATTTTTTTCCCTTCTGTTTTCAATTTTTATTTCTGCACTTTCCAGAATTTTCAAAAAATTAGTCCACATGTGAGTGCCTGAAGGCAGCTGCACTGTTACATTCATGATTGTATTCCCTGTAGCCCTTATTAAAGATGTTTTAATTTTAAAATTAAAACATTTGGGAGATAAGGAAAAACACAGCGAAGAAAATAGCCTCACCACTCAAATATACCCTGGTTTTGTTAAATGTTATATGATATAGAATTTATTACAAACTGTATAATATGTGTAATGTATTGTATTATATAATGTTAATTTATGTATATATAAATAGAAACATTCATGTATATAAATATATATCTAAACTTACATACTATTTTGTTATGTGCTTTTTACTTATAATAATTCCATGTCTTTAAATTTTCTTGTGTGACTTAAGTAAAATTTTTAACTTGTTATAGTGATACCCTTCAGTCTGTGTACCAAATAAGTTAACCTATGTGAAATAATATGCTATTGTTTTAAAAGTGATTGAATTTCTGAGCAATAATAGGGACAAAACACCCAACTTATCATTATTAAGATGCAAACATGTACGTGTGTTTTTCAAAGTTATGTTAGCCACTGTACAGTTGTTTTGTGGGGTTGAATGAGTAAAATCAGAGGAGATAAATGGGTTGTATATTTTGATGTTTCTAGGGAGCCTAAAATGGTTTTGGCCACTTGATGTCTCGCAAAGTGGTAGCATACAGTCCAGGGACTGATCCTTAGCTATAGATGTCTCAGGAGAAAGAAGGAATCACAAGTATCTAGGGCAGGGGAAATTAGTTAGATGCCAAATCAAATATGTGCAATCATTGGCCAAAGCTGGGTACAAATAAGGTGGGAGGAAAAGCTGTGGTAAACAATGGCTGGTAAATAGAGAAGAGGCTCTGGCCCCAGAGGATGGGGATGGTGATGACAGTAAATACCTGGAAAGTACAGGTAGCCCTTTAAATGTGCCCCTCTATGTAGAGGTAGCCATATGATCCATAACTTTAAATCACTGGAGAGCCAAGCAGCATGACCTTTATTTTGGGAAGAGTCCTCAGATGGATGTGGTTTGCTTCCTCAAATTCTCATGGTCGAGTAAAGTTTAGTTAAGTATTCAAGGTGCCTTTGTTAGATTATAGTGTGGAGGGTAGAGGAAAGGAATACTTTTGGAGAATTTTGAGAAGTGGTGAAACTACCAGAACTTCAGGGTATTGTCTCTGGGCAAAATGTCTCTTGATTCTTGCTCTTTCTTGGAAACTAAAAAGAAAGGACAAGAGATCTTCTAACAAATCATGTGGCAGTGAGCCCAGTGTGGCTGGAATAGAAGATCCAATGGTGCAGTTTCAAGAGGGCATGTTAGAAAAAGCACTTCACCTAGGGTGAGAGGCATTCAGTCCCAGGAGCCTTAGGATTTGTACTTTATCTCGAAACTATACAGTTTGTAGCAAAAGAAGGAAGTACTACATAAACACCTCACTTGTATCGTCACAACCTTTTATTTCCACATGTACTACAAATGTTATTTTTCCTTTTCGAATCAAATTCTGTAAATACAGAATTGAAAGCTTTCAAAAGAAGAGCTAAAGATAATCAGGCTACTAATGCTCTGCTTTCTTTTTATAAAAGATATGTATATTTTTAAGAGATGGGGTCTCACTCTGTTGTCCAGGCTGGAGTGCAGTGGTGCAAAAATAGCTCACTGCATCCTCGAGTTCCTGGGCTCAAGTGATCCTCCTTTCTCAGCCTCCTGGGTGGTTAGGACTATAGGCATGTGCCACCACGTCCAGCTAAGTTTTTTATTTTTGTAGAGATGGGGTCTTGCTATGTGACCCCCAACTGGTTTGGAACTCCTGGGGTCAAGTGATCCTCCCCACCTCAGCCTCCCAAATTGTTACAGTCATGAGCCACTGCACCTGCCTATGCTCTACTTCCATACTACTAATCTCACGAGTTTATTTCCTTTATCTTTTGATTTAGGTATTTCTATTGTTTTATGGAAATGCGAACACGATAGTATGCTGACAGTATAAGCCCCTGTTGAACATATTGATGTATATTAGCTCGAAAAGTCCTAAGGTCTGGGTTTTCATCTTCTATTTAAGAATTAGTGAACTTCTTAAAAACACATTGCAAATTTAAAAGGTGAACTATTAAATAAGGAAAATGCACACCATGAGAACAAGGACTTTTTTTGTTGTTGTTTATTTACCACTGTATTCCCAGCACCAGGCATAGATAGGGCTTGACTCACTATAGACACCAATACATAATTGTTGAGTGGGAATAAAAGTGTATGAGGGAACTCCTAAACCTTTTGGAGTTGTAGGATTCCACTGTTTTGATCTCTTGGCATTTTCCTATCTCTCCTCAAAATTTTCTGTGTTAAATTAAGGTAGGTTAATATGATGTGTCAGAAAATCTGGTGACATATGTTAAGATAATTGGCAATATTCTGTTTTGTAATTCATAAATTAGCATTAACTGTACTCTTGACATTGGTGACCTTTACGAATTGTTCAATTTGGGTGCATATAGTTTCCATAGTTGTTTATTATTATGCATTTTTTAAAAAACAGTCAAACTGTTGATCTCTTCGTGAATGCTGTGGTGTATAAACCAGGTGGGGAGAGCAGTGCTGAGATTCTCATGCTGAGCAGATGGCAGGGCCTGCTTGCCAGTCACATGGCTCCCTCCTGCACACTGCCTTTGCAGCTCACACTCATCGTATTTTTTTCCTTAAGAGAATTCCCAGTCTCACCCATGCTATGGTCTTTAGGGGTCTCTTGGAAAGAGTTAAAATTTCAGATGTTAAATTCCTGAATGGCCAGAGACTATTGTAATAATTAGACGTTAAGGCATTAGAAAATGATAATATAACTTGTGCTGTTTTCTTTGATTTTATTAGGTAAAAAAGCTCCAGTTTTATTTAATAAAGAAATGATTGAGTCAATGAAGGAAGGTTCAGTTGTTGTGGATTTAGCTGCTGAGGCTGGTGGAAACTTTGAAACCACTAAGCCAGGAGAACTCTACATTCATAAGGTATAGCAAGATGCATTTTCTACCTGCGATCACTTCTCATATCTTAAGTGAGTTATGAGGGGTTGTTTATTTCTTTAAATATTTAGAGACATTGAGGCCTGAAATTTTAAAATTAAAAATAGGCATATTTAAAGCTCCTGTTGAAATATGTATTTATGTTTATGGGTATGTATGTATATTTATAAAGATATATAATTTCAAAACTTAGCATTGAATATGAATGAGAATTGTTCTAGAATGAATGTGAATGTAGGGCGATAGACTTTTTTGACTGTAATTTTGTTCATTTAGGGAATTACTCACATAGGCTACACAGACCTGCCCAGCCGAATGGCCACTCAGGCCAGCACCCTATATTCCAACAACATCACCAAACTCCTGAAGGCCATCAGCCCGGACAAAGATAATTTTTATTTTGATGTGAAAGATGACTTTGACTTTGGTACGATGGGTCATGTCATCAGAGGAACTGTAGTGATGAAAGTAAGTAAAGAGATCTATTCCTTCCTGTGCTTTTAGTGTAAATTTGTTTTAGAATTTCTGTTTATGGAAGAAATCTATTTTGGAATTGAGACATATTTTAATAAGGTATTGGTATGCCAGGTTTATGCTGATAAAAATTATTTGTAAATGCAGAATGATTTAAAGAAAAATATTTCAAAGACTTAAAAGTACATGACTTACCAAAAATATACACTGCTTTTGAAAAACAGAATGAACAAACAAATTGAATAAAGTAAAAATTAAACATTCCCCCCACTTATCTGCTTTTAAGGGTTTGATTTTCATTCTTACATATATATCCTGTATGCGTACAAATTACATATATATGTATGTATATGTAACACGGATATTAGTATTTGTATACACATGTGACATATTTATGTAAAATGATATTATAAATTGTATGAATTTATATATTTACATAAAATTATATTTAAAAGAACAGGGTTTTAAAAAATAGTAAAGTATATTCTTTAAGCAATTTTGAAATGCTGGATTGACTTTTTAATATGTACTATTTTCTAATATCTATTAGGATGGTAAAGTGATTTTCCCACCTCCCACACCGAAAAATATTCCTCAAGGTGCCCCAGTAAAACAGAAGACAGTGGCTGAGCTGGAAGCTGAAAAAGCAGCTACCATTACACCCTTCAGGAAGACAATGACAACAGCTTCTGCATATACAGCAGGTGAGGATACCATTTACCAGGGTTTAGTCTTGATTGTTTAATTTTGCAAGTTATATATATATATGTATGTGTGTATATATAAACGTGTGTGTGTATATATCTACGTGTGTGTGTATATCTATATGTGTATATATGTGTGTATATATACACACACACGTAGATATACACACACACGTAGATATGTATACACACGTAGATATATATACATATGTAGATATATACATATATAGATATATATACATATGTAGATATATACATATATAGATATATATACATATGTAGATATATATACATATGTAGATATATACATATATAGATATATATACACACATATATACACATATATCTATAGATATATAGATATATGTATTTTTCCTTTTTTTTTTTTGAGACGGAGTCTCTCTCTGTCACCCAGGCTGGAGTGCAGTGGCGCGATCTTGGCTCACTGCAAGCTCTGCCTCCCGGGTTCACGCCATTCTCCCGCCTTAGCCTCCTGAGCAGCTGGGACTACAGGTGCCTACCACCACGCCCGGCAAATTTTTGTATTTTTAGTAGAGATGGGGTTTCACCATGTTAACCAGGACGATCTCAATCTCCTGACCTCGTGATCTGCCCGGCTTGGCCTCCCAAAGTGCTGAGATTACAGGCGTGAGCCGCCGCACCCAGCCTGCAAGCAATATGTTGTCAAAATTAGTAAATGAAATGCTGTTGTCTTTTTTGGATTTCATTAGTAATCAGGCCTGAAAGACTTGGTTTTTCAGCAACATACTACTTGTCTCACCTCTACGGATATGGAGATTACATTTATTGATGCAATAAATAGAGTCAGTGTGCTAAATACTGGAATGAAAGCATGTGAAATAATATGCAGGCAATAAACATTTTTCCTTTTACAGAAAACATTTTAAAAACAGTTATTTATATATATTAAAAACATACGTACTATATATATGTTTGAAACAAAGTCTTTTTCTGTTGCTCAGGTAGGAGTGCAGCAGTGTGATTATGGCTCACCACAGCCTCAACTTCCTGGAGTTGAGGAAGGAAGCTTCCCACTTCAGCCTCCTGAGTGGCTGGGACTACAGGCACATGCCACTATGCCCAGCTAATTTTTGTGTGTTTTTTTTTGTAGAGATGGGGCTTCACCATGTTGCCCAGGCTGGTCTTGAACTCCTGAGCTCAAGTGATCCTCCTGCCTTGGCCTGCCAGTGTGCTGAGATTACTTTTATCTACATCAAATGTATTGAGAAGTGATGTATGCCATATTGTACTGGTGTTAAATGCATATAAATATAATTTTTTTTTCTGTTTTTTGCGAAATATCAGTTGTGATTATCTGCACACATGGGTAAGAAAGGGAACCAAATGTTTGCCTTAAAGAATAAATACTACAATATAGGCTTTAGTCCTTAAACATTTGACTAACATTTTGAGTTACTCAACTTGTAAAAAAATTCAATATTTTCATTTAGATCTCTTTCTTTATAATTTAACATAAATTCTTTGTTTTAATATTCATTCTTCACGAAAACACTAAATAATTTATTGTAAAGTGGTGTAATATTCACTTTGGCTAAGCATTGTTAGAGGCTGAAATACGGATATTTGATTTTAAATTGGTTTCTGTCTCAAAGAATGAATTAAAAATGTTTAGATCTATTCAGAGCCAAAACAAAAACAAAACAAAAGCAAACTATAAAGAATTAAGGACCAGCACCAAGCACATAGAATTCTTGTAGACTCAGCATCCTCCAAATTCCCATGTGAGTCCAGATGTTTTAAAGCTAAACATGTAACTCTCCTTGAATAAAGAGCAAGTCTCAGCAAAATGACTGAAAAAGCCTCTAGTGGTGAACACTGAGAGTAGATGAAGCAGTGTCCCTACTTGCACTTATTTGTTAAAAAAACAAAATAAATGAGGTTATTGTGTTGTACATGGAACATATTATGAGTAGGATTGTAAATTTCCATTTCTCTTTCAGATTCATAAGGAAATGTAGCAAGGCACATATAAGGATTTATTTTTCTTGGTTTCTCTTATATTTCTTGAATCAGGGCATATTGCTTCTTAATATATATGACAGTGGCATATTCCAGTGAATGAAAGGATGAACTTATATGTGTTTTTCTTTATCTTGAACTCCCTCTTTTATATTAAAAATAAGCATTTTTCTTTTATATGTATTAAAAATGTATTTGAACAGCATTCTTCAAAGAATGTGATTTGCTTTCTCTTCTTTCATCAGCCTTTCTCTTCCTCTGTTATACAGATATAGAAATATAGTCTGACATATGTTACTAAATATATGATAGAAAAGACATTAGTTTATTAAATAGTTGATAAGAAAACCTTCAGGTATATGATGTAGTTTTTGTCACAGATGGCTAACACAAAGGACCGTGGATTATGATAAGGTAGTGCTTCCTGACTAATGTGGTCATAATAATAGCTAGCATTTAGTGACTGCTAGGCACTGTGCTAAATACTTCACATGCCTTAGCTCATTTATTTTTTACAAGAATTCAGCAAAGTGGGTATATTATTATTTTCTTTTCCAGATGAAGACAGAGAGGGTTGATAATTTTACATATGAAGACCTGAAGCACAGAGACATTAAGTAACTTGCCTGAGATGACACAGCTAGGGAGCAGCAGAACCAGGATTCAAACCAGACTGACTTAAGAAAACATATTCTTATTTACAACCCTATACAACTTCTCTAATTTTTAACTGGAAAACAGTGTTGTATCTAACTCTCTAATCAGATGGTTAATGGGCTATGCACTGGAACCTTGGATACATGATATGTGGGTAGGAAAATAAATTAAAACTATAGTCATATTGAATGATTTAATGTAAAATTAATGTCAATCCCTAGATATTTCAGTGGTGCTACTTCCAAAGTAATAGTTTACATCAAGGAAAAATGTACCTTATTCAGGAAAGTTAAATTCTAGTTCCCTGGTCACCCACTGTCATTTTCTTTTTACTGACCACTAGGTAACCCTTTCTTCTGTTGCAGAACAACTGTCCACATGTTTGCTATCAAGGAAGGCGATAATTAAAGATGTATGTTCAGAGCTGTTTGTATTCTGCACATTCTTAATTTAATTTGTATTTTTTTCCCTTTTCTTTGTAAAATCCTGTTTGCTGACTTGGTGTTGAGGCTGGAGCTGACTGCCCTGGCCAACAGTCCAGTCCAGATTCAGGAGCAATTGCAAAACTTGTGTCCCGGGTGGGTGGAAGCCATATGTTTTGGGGAGGTGCTGGAGTGAATGAAATTCTTCCTACTCTTTAAAAACCCCTATTCCTCAGCCAAATCTGAGAGTGACATAAAATTGGCCTCATAAAAGTCTTGTCTTATAAAGGTTGTGTCTTGCCCCAGTAGAAAATGCTTTGGTAGATCCTCTATAGGCCTGTAATCGGGAATAAAAATGCTTGTATAAACATATGTGGCATTGTCAATAAAAGTTAAAACAGGGAAGAGGACAAACTACACAGAGGAAAATGTGCAAATTGTTATTAAGGTGACTCGTAAATATTACTAGATCTTTATAGCTTATTTTGGGGTGGCGGTCAGAAAGTTGGGTTCTGTCCACAGTATTCCTCCATCCCCCTACTTCTTAATTGTCAAATGTCTAAAAAATCTGCTCATTACTGGCAAGGGAGTGGAATTTAAAAGCATTGACTATTTCACATTTTTATGGGTGTGCTTTTAATCTTACTGAGACAACTGGATGTCAGCTCACACACACTCTTTACTTTCTTTCTCTAGGTCTCACAGGGATACTGGGTTTGGGCATTGCAGCTCCCAATCTAGCCTTTTCTCAGATGGTGACCACTTTTGGCTTGGCCGGCATTGTGGGGTATCATACCGTCTGGGGAGTGACCCCTGCTCTCCACTCACCACTAATGTCTGTGACGAATGCAATCTCAGGTTTGTTCCTCTCTTGTTTTTCCTCATCTCAGGTTTTCATAGGCTTACTCAGCTCTAGGAGGACTATCAATGATGTTTATAAAGTGTGTTTTCAAGTTGTTTTGCTTGGCATCTGAGGCATCTGCTTTGGTGATCTAAGGGCTCCCAGACTCCGAGAGGGTGTGGAATATGGGCCTGCAAAGTAAGAGGCTGTGGAAGTGTGTCAGCTCTTTGGGCTGCTCCCATTTCAAGCAGGACAGAGCCACTGTTACTTCTTCCAAGTTTGATTCTTTTTTTTTTTTTTTTTTTTTTTAAGGAAGGATTCCACTGATAAAATTTGAAAACCAGCATTCCACAGAATCATAGTTGCAACATCCTATAGGGTTCTCCTTGAATTCAACTCAACATTCAGCCTAGCAAGGCTACAATAGGCCCTGTGTTTGTGGCATCAGATTCACCATGAAGCTATGGGACGGGAAAACATCGCTTTCCAGTGAGGTGGCATGAGGCATTTCTCTTTGGTGCCAGTCTTTTCAGCAGTTCATGCAGCAGCAGCAGTCCACGCGGCTGCCCAGTATCTATTTTCTTTGTCCCCTAGCAGTGGTTCAGATATGAGGGAATGAATCCTACATTGGACAAGCATGGGAGCTGTCCTGGCTTAAAAGCCTCAGGGCCAATAGTCATCTTTTATAACGTTGCCATAGGCACAGCTTCGAGGATCTCTGTAGGGAACATGTCTAGCTCCAAGAGGTGCTGTAGTCAGGAAAACCCAAAGCTAGGCATCCCCAGCAGACATTTACAGTTCATTAATAGTTTCTTCCAGTTTATATGCAAATTATCTACCAGGGTCACTTTTTAACCATAAGCAATGTTGTCTATAACATTGGTGGATTTATATCTGTATTAGAGGAACATAGCTAGAAAGTTAAAGGAAAGTCCAATTCCAATGCAGAAGGAGAAAAAATTTTGTTAACCCTTTTCCCACAGTAGTAATTTCAGTGAGAATGATGTGAAGCTGTGTTGTCCACAGTCTGCATAAGGAAAATTGTTTATTTCATTTTAATGAGGATATAAGAAAGCTGCCTTGTTTTTTGATATTGAGAACTTTACCCTCTATGAATCTATGTGTGTGAGGTACTTCAGCTATGATATTTGATTTGGTGGTGTCACTATCACTATTCACCATGTTGATGCTTTCTTTCTAGGCCTGACTGCAGTTGGTGGGTTGGCACTGATGGGAGGACATTTGTATCCTTCCACAACTTCTCAGGGCCTTGCTACTCTTGCCACATTCATATCCTCCGTCAACATTGCAGGTATGATGTCAGTGAAAGGTCTCAGAGGACTATTTTCAATGGAGACATAAAAAGCAAATATAAATCAGTATAAAATAGACATAATTGTGCCTTTAAAAAAGGTTTCACTCAGACCGTAAATGCTTTTTGTGCAGGAATATTAGTTATTTTGCCCATCTGTAATTTTTAGAAACTCTTGGTGAGAGAACAACCCCCAGTTCCCCAAAACAAACAAACAAAATGATGTCTTGCTACAAGTTAACTGGAAAGTTACTGAATGCATAATTTTGAAGTAAGTTGGGTTAGAGCTGTCACCATAACATCTATAAATGAGTATAATTTTAGATCAATTTTAGTCTTTTGCCTTATCCCAGCCAGCGTTTGTTCCTGGAAACTGAAAGCCTCGCACATCACTCATATGTGAGACTCGTTTGATGCTATTTTGTAGCTAAAAATTCTTTAATGTGTCCAAGAAACCTGGTGCCTGTTGATATGGTATTTTTCTCTTTTATAATTTTTTATAGGGTTTTACAAATGTAACAACCTATTAGAAAAAAATGCCAATCTTTGATCTTTCACATTCTCAAGCTTTTTGAATGGCTTTTTTTCTTTTAGTTTTGCATTCTGATAGCGTTTTCTTCCTGAATATATTTAATGTTTTTTCCCCCACCTCTCTAATGGAACTGACTTGAGTAATAGAATGACTTTAAATTTTGGCTGGGTGTAGTGGTTAACACCTGTGATCCCAGCACTTTGGGAGGTCAAGGCGGGCAGATCACCTAAGGTCAGGAGTTCGAGACCAGCCTGGCCAACATGATGAAACCCGCTCTCTACTAAAAATACAAAAATTAGCCCAGCATAGTGGCGTGAGCCTGTAATTCCAGCTACTCGGGAGGCTGAGACAGGAGAATAGCTTGAACCTGGGAGGTGGAGATTGCAGTGAGTCAAGATCGTGTCATTGCACCCTAGCCTGGGCAACAGAGTGAGACTCCATCTCAAAAAAAAAAAAAAAATTTGAGGTTGCAAAATGTTACTTTAAATTATATTTATTCCTAGGTGATAAAGATGTGCTTAAAATAGAAAAAATGTAGCACTTTAAAAAATCATATTGGTCAGTGAGCTCAAAGAGGTACTATGTTTTTTATTTCCTTTGCTTTGCTAAGGTGGCTTTCTGGTAACTCAGAGAATGCTGGACATGTTCAAGCGTCCCACTGACCCCCCAGAATACAACTACCTGTATCTGCTCCCTGCTGGTACCTTTGTTGGTGGATATTTAGCTGCCCTCTACAGTGGTTATAACATTGAACAGGTAAGAGGCTCTTTGTAAGTTTTTATATTTACCACAATATTTTCTTCTCTATTAGATTTAACATTGCTAGTTATCCTAATTCAAATTATCGAGCAAATACAACTCTGTCAAGCAAATACAACAATAACCCTAGAAACATCTTGGTCAAACCGAGCATTCTCTTCCCCTAAGGATCAGGACCCTGGATTCTAGAGACAGATTTTTCTGGTAACTGAGTTTAAATATGGGTTTATGTCTTTGTTTTGTTACATTTTTCCACATGTAAAAGGAGTTAGGAAGGTTATCAGTATCTTCATTATGTATCTAGCTAGATTGTTGTGGATTTATAATGAAACAATTCTGAACTCCGTATTTTCTATTTCTTTTCAATGACTATCTTTTAGTTTCTTCTGTGTTTCCAACATGCAGTATTTATTGAATGAACAATATTTTTTTTTGAGAAGAGTTGGAGCAGTGAGTCAGAAAGACCTTAGTCTGAATTCCAGATTTCCAATTTACTGATCATTTGCCTTGAAGAAAGTATGTAACTTCTTTAAGCTTTGATTCTCTCTTTTGGAAAATGAGGATAATGATTTTTCCCTCTTGTGGATCTCATGAGACTGTGACAACACAGATAAAACATATGGCACAGCCCCTGGCACTTACGTCAGGGGTTGGCTCTTTTACAGCATTTGGTCAAGTTTAGTATTTTTAGATCCAATAATGACCCCATTTAAATTTAGGTACTTTCATTTGTATTTGTGCATGATAGCAAATCCAGAAGAAACCAATTTATATAAATGGTATAAGTGCAAATACAATATAAGTATTTTGTATGTTAATATTCCTAATGGGTAGGAAATATATTGAAGTCTCTAAGTTAATAGACTAAAGGTTTTAATAATCTCTCTCTCTCCCTTTTCCTTTGAAAAGATCATGTACCTAGGCTCGGGTTTGTGCTGTGTTGGTGCCTTGGCTGGCCTCTCCACCCAGGGAACAGCACGTCTTGGCAATGCATTGGGCATGATTGGGGTTGCTGGAGGGCTGGCAGCTACCCTCGGAGTCCTGAAACCGGGCCCAGAATTACTAGCTCAGATGTCTGGAGCGATGGCTTTGGGTGGTACCATTGGTAAGCACTTGTGGGCTTCTGCCTTTATGTGAACTCCAGTTTCTCAATATATATTTCTAAGGTCCATATTGATGAAATAATTAAATTGTGTTCATGGAAGTTGCTTCAGTTAATATTATTTTGGTGAAAATTCATCCCAGTTGGTGTAATTCTCATTCAAATACTTTTGAAAACACTGAGTAAATGCATCAACTGAGTCAAAATATCCTATACTCAATTCTTATTTTCCTTTACTGACTGTTTCTCGTTAGCTGATAATGGAATGGGGGATTGGAATCCTTATGTATGTACTATACATAAGCTAACTTTTGTTCTGCTGGGTATACATAACAGCCAAAGATTCTGCTTCATAGACCTGTTAAAAATGAATAAAACATGTGCCAGCAGAAAAACCACTGTTTTAATTTTATTCAGTTGTGTGCTGGATTGTTAAATTTTCAGGAATTTTTAGGCCGGGCTTGGTGGCTCACACCTGTAATCCCAGCACTTTGGGAGGCTGATGTGGGTGGATCATTTGAGGCCAGGAGTTTGAAACCAGCCTGGCCAATATGGTGAACCCCCGTAGCTATTAAACATACAAAAATTAGTTGGGCATGGTGGCGTACAACTGCAATCCCAGCTTTTTGGGTGGCTGAAGCATGAGAATCGCTTGAAACTGGGATGTGGAGGTTGCAGTGAGCTGTGATCATGCTGCTGCACTCCAGCCTGGATGACAGAGCGAGATTCTGTCTCAAAAAAAAAAAAATTTTCTTTTTTTTCCAGGAATTTTTTAAGTTGATTGTTAAACACAGCCGTTATTAAATACTAAATTACATAAACTTAAAATTAAATAAATCAGAAACAAAGGTAATAATATTAAAAACTCATAACTTTCTAATTAATTTACTAGGTTTTATTATCTATGCTCTTGAGGTTACTTATATCTATTGTATGTGTATAGAAGAAATGCTATGTATCAGTGGGCTGTGGTACATCTCTTTCCAATTCTACATTCAATGACATCACATTGGTAGATTGAAATTTTACTTGGTAGGAGTATTGCAGTGTGGAAATAGGCAAATGCTACAATCTGGGCTTGATTTATTGTTTTGTTTATTGTCCAGATGTAAGAAACTGATGGAGAAAATGTTAATGATGCAGCTTAAACTTCAAATGTTTTGACTGTAACTGTGACATTGTGAATAGCACAAATAATTGAGCAAATACTCTTCCAGTATTTGAAAACTATTATCAGATTCAGCAATAAAGTCACTCATGGTTGATAAATGAGTGAAGTTCTCACATACATTCTGTTGTTTTACTTTCATCTTAGTTATTAAAGTAAATAAAAATAAATATCAAACAATGTTCCTGTTGGAAGTATGCTTATTCATCAGTTGCAAACACTAGGTTGGCTACAGATATAAGAGTTTCGCAAAGATCCATAAAAACATTCTATGAAAGTCAATTTGTCTACATGGAATTTTCAATAAAGAACACTGTATTTCTTATTATTTGGAAATTATGTGCTAGCCACCTTTATATCAGTTAAAGCTCATATATTTGTATGTGCATGTATTTCTTTCCTGTGGAACTGGTTATTAAATGTTTCCCAGTGCAACACTGGCTTTAGGCCTCCTTTTATACTTCCTCAGGAAAGCTTTGACTCTTTTCTTGATAATCTCTGGAAAGGGACTTGAAGGAAAATGTTTGCGCTATAGGTTCATGGCAGGAAAACCTTTAGACGTGATCTTAGCAAATATTCTGAGCCCCACTTCTTCTGTATCACCTACCTATAGCCATGCAGTTCCTTCAGAAGCTCCTAATTTGGGTATTTACTGCCCAGATTTTTGCATTTCTTTACCTTGGGACTTTGCTCCCACCTACCCACCTGAAAACCAAGGTCTTCTTCATGTTCCAGGTGTTTCTTATGTGCTCAGGAGCAAACACTGGTTATAGAGAAGAGGGCCTGGTTGTAATGGGGAGAATATAAGGGAATTTGATTAGAGATTTAGGTAGTCTGAAGAAGTGTTGGCTAGGGGAAGGTTGGGAGTTTGTGATGGGAAGAGGTATGCATTGATGCTGCGTGTTGGGGTTCATTGGAGTTGGGTCATGCTTAGGTGTGTGGAGAAAAACTGTTGTTTTGAAAGGGTATACAAGGTGAGCATCTTTAATCCGAAAATCTGAAATGCTTCAAAATCTGAAACTTTTTGAGTGGTGACATGACACCACAAGTGGTGAATTCCACACATAAATACTTAACACAAACTTTGTTTCAAGCACAAAATAATTTAAAATGTTTAAAATTACTTTCAGGCTGTATGTATATGAAACATAAATGAATTTTGTGTTTAGACCTGGGTCCCATTCCCAAGATATCTTATTATGTATATGAAAATATTCCAAAATTTAAAAAGAAATTAAAATCTGAAACACTTCTGGTCCCAAGCATATCAGATAAGGGATACTCAACCTGTATACAACTAGTGCCCTTACCTTCTGTACAGCCCCTGTAGAGAATATTTAGCCCGTACTAGGAACTAGATAATATTTATTTGTGACAATGGTGGAAATTCTTAAGGGTGATCTTTGTTGTGGTTACTTCTCAAAAGTTTGTCAAGTTTTAATTTATTTTTGACCTTCATTTCATAACAGGATTGACAATTGCCAAACGCATCCAGATTTCTGATTTACCTCAATTAGTTGCTGCTTTTCACAGTTTAGTGGGTTTGGCAGCTGTACTTACTTGCATAGCTGAGTACATTATAGAATATCCACATTTTGCTACGGATGCAGCAGCAAATCTCACCAAGATTGTGGCCTACCTCGGCACTTACATTGGTGGCGTCACCTTTAGTGGGTCTCTCATTGCCTATGGAAAATTGCAGGGTAAGTGATTCAGCATAACATAGAAGTAAATAGCTATGTTTAGGGCATTTAGGGATCCATTTTAATTTCAGAAAATACATTAACATGGTTGGGCGCAATGGCTCATGCCGCAATCCAGCACTTTGGGTGGCTGAGGTGGGAGGCTCTCGAGCCCAAGAGTTTAAGACCAGCCTGGGCAATATAGTGAGACCCTATCTCTACTTTTTATAAAAAAATCAAATATTAATACTAATAAAAAAGAGTAAAAAAAGAAAATACCTTAACAGTAAAACTGTTAGGTGAAGAGTATTCATATAGCACTCAGAAATTGTAAAAGTTTTTTTCCCCCTATCCTTCCCCTTTATTGATACTTAACAAGTCTCATAAAGCTTTGAAGCTGTTTCATTTGCAGACAGCTAATGGAGGAAATTAGTGCACAGGAATTTGCATAGAGGGACTAGTTGACTTTTGATAATACATGTGAACGAAACAGCATCCTCATAATCCTTGGTTAGAGATGACTGTGTAGAATTCACAGAAATGAACTTTATACATTTTCCAAAATAGGAACTTATTAAATAAGTTTGTGTGAGTAGTAAACAGTACTTATTTTGAAAACAAATACACACTTTAGGACTCTAGCATGACAACTTTTGCTGCTGGTAAAGTCAATCATGAAAATGGAAGTGGAGAAAAAAACCCTACAGAGGCTGCTGTCAGTGTTTTTACAAAAAAGTCTCTAGATAAACTAGTTTGTGATTTAAAAACATGGTCTTGCCTCTCAGTAATAAAGTCATGAAAATTAAGTGGGGAACTTCCATGAAACTTGAAAATCATAGAAGAACTTCAAGTTTCAAACATTTTTATCTCATGCTTTGCCTTTAGGAACAAATAACAAACAAGGTTTCTTCCTTGGGCTCAGTTAATAGAATCTGAAATACTAGTGTGCAAGGATTCCATATTGAAGTTCTATTTGTTTATTTTTACTTTTTTATGCTTTATTTTTGTCAGAAGACTGGCATGCATGAAGTTTTCAATAAATAAACCCACACTTAACAACTTCCATGTTGGTCATACGTAAGAAAATAACTTCTTAAGATTTCATGACAAAAAGGAAAGAAATTGTTTTGTGATCAAAATAGGGAAAAGAATAGTGAAGTCGAACCATAGTTTTCTGTCTCTGTTCATGTTTATTATGTGTAATAATTCTAATTTGCTTTTGTTTCATACCTAGTAATATAAAGTAATATTTTAAATACCATGTTATGCTAATGTTAAATTTTGGTAGTTTAGGATTAAAAGACACACTTGGGTGTGTGTGAGGGGGTTTCTTACAACACATTCTGAATTCTAACTACTATGTGCTTGGCTCTAGGTCTCCTGAAATCTGCCCCTCTCCTACTGCCTGGAAGGCACTTACTCAATGCAGGCTTACTGGCTGCTAGTGTGGGCGGGATAATACCATTCATGGTGGACCCAAGCTTTACCACTGGCATCGCCTGTCTGGGTTCTGTGTCTGCTCTCTCTGCTGTCATGGTAAGAAGTCAGAGATTGAAAAGTACATATTTGGTGAAAAACTGGTAATATTTTGTTAGATTAAAGTGTAATCAGATTTTTATCTCATCAAAAACCTTGATGGAATAAAAATGTTTTAAAATTATGTCACATGTTCCTCTTTTTAGAATCTGGAAAACACAGAAGAGTGTAGGAAGAACATTATTCTTTCTTGCAACTTAATTGTTCATTTTAAAGTTGTCACATGAGATGCCTTTATTGCTCTGGAGTCTTTTCACTGGATCAATGTGTTGGTGAACAGGAGCTTAAAAAGGCCAAGGGTTTCAATGTATTAGGTGCCTACTATATGACAAGCCCTACAAAATAGTGCTTCGGGGTTTATACAATACAAGTAAGATAGTCTCTGCCCACTAGTTGCTCTCACATCATTGGAAGATATGACATGAAATCAAATAAGTATAAAATGAAATGCAGTTAAAAAACCCCGTATGCTCAGTGAGAGTGTTCAGTTAAGCCTTTTATGATAGGTTCAGCCTTCCTCTTTCTCTGTAATTTTTACATTTAGTATATTGAAACAGTAGTTTTTAGTTGTCTATATGGCAGTCTGGCATCTTATATCAATGTATGATGCTGTTTCATGCAGTGCTATTATTTGCTGTTATTCACTGTTACTCATGTTCTTTCCTTGTATAATCTGTAGATAAGGTTTATATTTAAGTTAAAAAAATTATCTACAGTGCCTAACACAAAGTTAGACACATAGCAATTGCTTATGAAATACTTACTGGCTCCTTGATTCAGAAACACCTAATTTATAGTGTAAAAATGTTACTTATTTTTGTGTGATTATGAGAGTTAAGTCATGATTTCAACACAGAAACTTGAGATCACTGAAAAGTAAATTAAAATCTCATCTTTATATTAATGCTCATAGTCTAATTTTATTCTGGCTTGTTGCACTGATTTTTGTTTTAAACAAAAGAATACATGTGCACAACGTGCAGGTTTGCTACATATGTATACTTGTGCCATGTTGGTGTGTTGCACCCATCAACTCGTCATTTACATCAGGTATAACTCCCATTCACATATGTATACTTGTGCCATGTTGGTGTGTTGCACCCATCAACTCGTCATTTACATCAGGTATAACTCCCAATGCAATCCCTCCCCTCCCCTCCTCCCCATGATAGGGCTCCCGTGTGTGTGATGTTCCCTTTCCCGAGTCCAAGTGATCCATTGTTCAGTTCCCACCTACGAGTGAGAACATGCGGTGTTTGGTTTTCTGTTCTGTGATAGTTTGCTAAGAATGATGGTTTCCAGCTGCATCCATGTCCCTACAAAGGACACAAACCATCCTTTTTTATGGCTGCATAGTATTCCATGGTGTATATGTGATATTACTTTTCTTAATCCAATCTGTCACTGATGGACATTTGAGTTGATTCCAAGTCTTTATATTAGGAATAAAAGGCACAAACATACGGTGCATGTGTCCTTATAGTAGCATAATTTATGCAATCCTTTTGGGTATATACCCAGTAATGGGATGGTTGGGTCATATGGTACATCTAGTTCTAGATCCTTTGAGAATCGCCATACTGTTTTCCATAATGGTTGAACTAGTTTACAATCCCACCAACAGTGTAAAAGTGTTCCTATTTCTCCACATCCTCCAGCAATCTAAGTTGTTTCCTTGACTTTTTAATGATTGCTGCCATTCTAACTGGTGTGAGATGGTATCTCATTGTGGTTTTGATTTGCATTTCTCTGATGGCCAGTGATGATGAGCATTTTTTCATGTATACATATGTAGCAAACCTGCACGTTGTGCACATGTACCCTACAACTTGAAGTTTAATAATAATAAATAAATTAAAAAAAAAAATAAACAAAAGAAAAATAATTTTGATATTTTTAATCTAATAAGGCAGAATAAGTTAATGAAGTCTCAAAATAAAAGATATACAAATGTGACTGGGCGTGGTGGCTCATGACTGTAATCCCAGCACTTCGGGAGGACGAGGTGGGTGGACCACCTGAAGTCAGGAGTTTGTGACTAGCCTGGCCAACATGGTGAAACCCTGTCTCTACTAAAAATACAAAAATATGCCGGGCATGGTGGTGTGCGCCTGTATTCCTAGCTACTTGGGAGGCTGAGGCAGGAGAATTGCTTGAACCTGGGAGGCAGAGGTTGCAGTGAGCCAAGATCATGCCATTGCACTCTAGCCTGGGCGACAAGAGCAAGACTCTGTCTCAAAACAAAACAAAACTTTAAGAATTGTTGTTTCAGGGAAGCAGTGAATATGATATTTAAAGGATTTATTGGTTCTATGAGAAAGTCTTAGACAAAGTATTTTTTGAATTTATTTTATTGTTTTTGGCTTAAATGAGTAGTACATGAATATGCTCTCATTGTAACAAGCAAAAAAGGTAAAAATATGTGAAATTAGCAAAAAGCTTTTTCCTTTCCTGTGTTTAGTAATTTTGAGTTGTATCACAGACATTGTTAATGATACATTATAGACATTTTGGATTATGTTATATTCCTTCAAAGGGTATTGATTATTATTTTTTATTTATGCATTTTTGTAGCCAGCTAACTTGGCTAAACTCAAATTGCAAATTTTGACTCCCTTATGTTGGGGAGGGGCAGCTGAAATCTGTTGTTATTTTATCCTTAACAGATTTTCACTGGATCAATGTGTTGGTGAACAGGAGCTTAAAAAGGCCAAGGGTTTCAATGTATTAGGTGCCTACTATATGACAAGCCCTACAAAATAGTGCTTCGGGGTTTATACAATACAAGTAAGATAGTCTCTGCCCACTAGTTGCTTGGAAAATCCAAGATTGCTTGGAGTCTGTCTCACATATGTATAGTTCAAGAGTCATCCAGAGATTTGAGTAGAATTTATACACAGAGACTGGGACTCCCTCTCTCTAGCCTGCTCCTTTGTGGGATTTCCCTTATTACTTTCCAGCTGCCTTAGTCATCTCAAGTGTTATCTTCAGGATCTTCAAGCCAGTAAGACTGTGGGCTTATATTTTATAATTTCTTTAATTGGTACCAACAGGGGATTGCCCTCAGTCTAAAGCCACAAAAATTGGGAAATTCACTTGGTGTCATTATGTTTTTCCAAATGTAGATACTTCGCCAGTTTCTGCCTGTTTTTAATCACTGAAAAGTGTTTTTTTAAAATGTAGGGATTTTTTTCAGGGGGGTGGGTGGCTCGGTGTTTATAGTTGTTATACCTGTGGAAGTGTTGGTCAGATGGGAGACACATATTACCAGAAGTGGAACTTATATGTAAATATATTAATGGGAAAGCTAGAATAATTAAGGAGCAAAATGTTAAATGCCAGAGGTTTTATTTTTATGTTATTAATTTTGAGTTGTACTTTGATTGTTGTTCTAGGGTGTGACTTTGACAGCTGCTATTGGGGGTGCCGACATGCCTGTCGTCATCACTGTGCTGAACAGCTACTCAGGCTGGGCCCTGTGTGCAGAGGGCTTCCTGCTCAACAACAATCTGCTGACCATTGTGGGTGCACTCATAGGCTCGTCTGGTGCTATCCTGTCATACATCATGTGTGTGGTAAGAAACAACACATACATGAAAGAAAAGGAAATGACTTTCTGAAAACATGGATGTGCTTGTTATTTCTTTTATTAGCCATAAAAATGAGTATCGTAGGCTGGGTACTGTAGCTCACGCCTGTAATCCCAGCACTTTAGGAGGCCAAGGCGGGTGGATCACGAGGTCAGGAGTTCAAGACCAGCCTGGCCAAGATGGTGAAACCCCGTCTCTACTAAAAATACAAAAATTACCTGGGCGTGGTGGTAGGTGCCTGTAATCCTAGCTATTTGGTTGGCTGAGGCAAAGAATTGGTTGAACCCAGGAGGCGGAGGTTGCAGTGACCAAGATCATGCTACTGCACTCCAGCCTGGGTGACATAGTGAAACTCCATCTCAAAAGAGAGAAAAAAAAAAAAGAGTATGGTAGCTTTGAATTCTCTTCAGCAGAAATAGCACAGTGTTTCATTTGCATAAATTTCCAAGACTGCCTTTAAGGTACCCAACTGTAAAGAATTAGGAAAATTAAATAGAAAGATGAAAATCTTCTAGTGCCTCTCTCCATCTGGAGATAAACAGGTAAGATTTTGGTTTATTTCCTTATGTATGGCATATCTGTGTATTTACTTGTCTGACCATGTTGTATATTGTCCTACATTTAAAAAAACTTACATACTATATTGTTGACTTTTTGTCATTAAAAATTCTATTTTAAGAGACTTTACCCTAATCCATAATATGGATATACAAAATTTATTTAATTTCCCCTTAATGCTATACATATGAAGTTGTTTGATTTTGATTTCTCTTTGTACATATCTTTGACATTTCAGATTTTTGTCTTAAGATAGAGTCCTAGAATTTATAGCCTCATTATACTTATAGCCATGTTTCTGGAAAGGTCGTTCTAATTTACACTTCTGTTGGTCGTCTGTGAGAGTTTCTACCTTAGAAGTTTTGCGGTCAGCATGATGTTTTTTTTTGTTTTTGTTTTTTTTAAATTATACTTTAAGTTCTAGGATACATGTGCACAACATGTAGGTTTGTTACATATGTATACATGTGCCATGTTGGTGTGCTGCACCCATTAAGTTGTCATTTACGTTAGGTATATCTCCTAATGCTATCTCTCCCCACTACCCACTCCCCACAATAGGACCCAGTGTGTGATGATGTTTTTTTAAAAAAAGAACAGAAAAATGTAACAACACTAATACTTCCTAGCTTTTCTGTTTGTTTCAAGTTCTCTTCTTGAGGGCAAGAAGATGCTGTGCAAATATTATAATTAAAGGTTTGAGTAGAACATTTTTTCAAATTATAGGTGTTATTTTCTAAATAATACTTTTGAATAACTGTTACAGTACAAGTATGAAGCTAAGTGAAACCAGAATGTGATTTTACACTGATAAATAATTTAGACAAGAAAGGGATCTGTATTAGTCCATTCTCACACTGCTGTGAAGAACTACCTCAGACTGGGTAATTTATGAAGTAAAGAGGTTTAATTGACTCACAGTTCCGCAGGCTTAACGGGAAGCATGACTGGGAAGCCACAGGAAACTTACAATCATGGTGGAAGGTGAATGGGAAGCAAACACATCTTACCGTAGTGGAGCAGGAGAGAGAGTGAAGGGGGATGTGCCACACACTTTTAAACCACCAGATCTCGTGAGAACTCACTAGCATAAGAACAGCAAGGCGGAAGTCAACCCCCATAATCCATCACCTTCCACCAGGCCCCCCCACCCATGAAATGTGGGGATTACAATTTGACATGAGATTTGGGTAGGGACTTAGCCAAACCATATCAGATACTTACTCTACCTTCATTCGTTTATTACAGTATTTTAAAAAACTGCCTTATTTTATAACTCAGGATTTTTCTTACGATTTAATTGAAAATCTCATTGTAATTTGGAAGGCTTAAGTATCTTTTCATAGTAAAAAATATTTTTGTTTCTTAGGCTGTATTGCCAAACAAAGGGTTTGATAGCCCAAAGTCAAAACAAGCTAAGGGGTTTTAAAATTAAATTACCTAAATTGCTTGGGGAATTTGGAAAGGTGAAGGTTTATGTATCCTATTTGAAAAGTGTCAGCTTTGTGACAGAAAGGAGAAACATTTGTGAAGAAAAAATGCTTATGAAGTTGTACTAGAAACAGTTTTCTGTAAAAGTGCTTTTAACCCTTAGTTTGATTTTGCTTCAGTTGATGAATTTGAATGACCAGCAGGGGGCAGCAGATTTTCATTATTACTTAAACTTGAGGTTTGTCAGTGGCTTTTAAAGTTAAATGGGAGGCGCGGTGGCTCACGCCTGTAATCCCAGCACTTTGGGAGGCCGAGGCGGGCGGATCACAAGGTCAGGAGATCGAGACCATGGTGAAACCCCGTCTCTACTAAAAATACAAAAAATTAGCCGGGCGCAGTGGCGGGCGCCTGTAGTCCCAGCTACTCGGGAGGCTGAGGCAGGAGAATGGCGTGAACCCGGGAGGCGGAGCTTGCAGTGAGCTGAGATTGCGCCACTGCACTCCAGCCTGGGCGACAGAGCGAGACTCCGTCTCAAAAAAAAAAAAAATAAATAAATAAATAAATAAAGTTAAATGGGAGGATTTGAAGGATTTGAATGTTAACAAAGCCTGTGGCATATTGATATGGGGAGAGGAGGGAAGAAGACTTGTATCTAGTTCTTGAAATGTCAGCATGGTTAATCAGCATGGTTAATTTCTTGTTTTATCCTTTTTAAAAAACGGTTTTCTTTAGGTTTTTAAATTTATGAAGAGTATTCCCCACATTTCTGTCTGTGTCTCTCTTATTACTCTCCTTTTCCTTCTTCACTTAGTGTCTTTTATTATTATTAGTTATAGCAACCATAGTAAGTCTTACAGTAACTCTTCTGCAACACTAGAATAAGGTAGCAAGAGGTACTTGTCGAAAGTACTCTCTTCCATGTGTTCTGCAATTATATCACCTTTCTCTTATTTTTCCTATTCTTTTATATTTTTTGATTTTGTTTTCTCTAGGTCTTCTATTTCTTTTCTTTCCATTTCACTGCCACAGGCGTGCCATTTACCATCAGCATTCCAAAGATATTTTGTATTCGTATTCTGTATATAGAGCTACCAAATTATTCCAATAGCTGCCGGAGGCCATAAATATCACATTGGGTCAGATTGATAATTTGGATTCAAGAACAGTTGAAGTTTTAATTAAAAAAAAAAATTCTGGCCGGGTACCGTGGCTCATACCTGTAATTCTAGCACTTTGGGAGGCCAAGGCAAGTGGATCAGTTGAGCCCAGGAGTTCAAGACCAGCCTGGGCAACATGACAAAACCCTGTCTCTACAAGAAATATAAAAGTTAGCTGGGCATGGTGGCACATGTCTGTAGTCCCAGTTACTTGAGGGGCTGAGGCAGGAGGATCACCTGGGGAGGTTGCGGCTGCAGGGACCTGTGATTGTACCACTGGACTGCAGCCTAGGTGACAGAGTGATACCCTGTCTCAAAAAAAAACAAAAACAAAAACAAAAAACCCAATTAATCAAAGATGTTTAATGTAGGAAATTTGGAAGAAACAGAAAAGGATAAATAAAAAAATAAAATTACCTAAACTTCTATTACCACTTAACAGTTAACATTCTAGTCTTTTTTATATGAATATGTTTAAATACATTCTACTGAATATATTATGTAATTGTCTACCCTTAATTTTAATGAAGGTTTAATTAATGTTTAATTTTCTAATAATTTTTAGCTCCTACTATTATAGCACACAGATATACCAGAATCTGTTTATTCAAATTCATAATAGTTGTTTTTAACTTTCTTTTTTTTTTTTTGGTTGCAGTTTTCTTTCTTATACATCTTTGATTATTTCCTTAGGTCTAGTTTTTATAAGTGCAATTAACATGGTCAAAGGGAGTAAGAACTTTTTGTTGGCTTTTGATATTGCTAAATTGATCTCCATAAAGCATTCACCAGTCAAAGCTCTTACTTGTGATGTTCAATGTGTTTCTCTTACTGTATGATCTCTACTCCTAGGCATTGTTACAAAACAAGTCAGAAACCAGCAAATACAAGCCTGTCATATTTTTCGATTTTGAAGATAGAAATTATCTTTTCTTCTAAAATTTTCTGATTTCTTACTTTTTACGTTAACCTTCATTGATAAACCTTCTTTATGCTTCTTTATTATAGGAAATTATAGATTTATTCAGTCTCTTATGGCTGTGCTTAGCAGCTCTAGGTAGATCAGTATAATCATAAAAATAAAATAGCTACTCAAAATTAGGCATTAGTGCAGGATAACAGTCATTATGCTGGATGCTTTACAAAATATAGCCCATTTAATCCCCACACAAATTCTGAAGGTTGGAAATATTATTCTCATTTTACTGAGAAAGTATTGTAAGGCATCATTTATTATTCACCTTTGTGTTTGTGGAGTCTGGCCAAGTACCTGGCACATTCACACAAATTGGTTTGTTAAGTGAACATTAGATAAATATTTTGTTAGCTTATTTCATGTTTTAGAGTCTTCTCCAGATATACTATGATAGCAGATATAGTAGAGTTAACATGGTACCAGTATGTTGACCTTCACTGTTATTTATTGAAGGAAACTTGCAAGTTCAAACTGGAACAGGGTGATTTTATTATGTGTGAGGGAATGGAATGCACCCCAAGTGGCTAACCAGCAATCCCCAAAATTGAATTTTTGTTCTGACAAAGAATTCTTTTGGGTGTCCTCTGAGCTCAGTGCTATGGTTGCACAATATCCAAGATTATAAAAACTGAAAAATGTTGACAGTGTCCAAACAACCAACTCAAATCAATGATACCCAAATATCATATAGACATTAATCTCTTTATGATTTTACAGTTTCTTTGTGATAGTATCCAGATTGCCTCAGAAATAGAGGTCTCACAAAAATTGAACAGCATTTTGAGATCAAATTTTCTGATTTTTGCACTTTGCTGCTTGGTTCCAAATGAAAATAGAATAGAATGAAGTGGATCAAAAGCCAAATCAAAAATATTGTTTTTTTCCTTTGTGATTAATTAATACCTACAAAGCATTGAAATGAGAGATGCTAGTAAATGGTATATGTTATTATTGCTTTGACTTTGTCAGTTTTATGACCTGTCCTTTGCTTTCAGATTGATTTCTTACAGTGTGTTCAGAATTATGTGAATTAGGGTTCTCTTTAATGTAGAATGCAATTTTAATTATTGGCTTAATAGCTTAAAAGGAACAGCCTTAAACAGTGTTGCAAATTCTTTGTCTTGGAAGCTGGGAACTGTTCAATCTCTGGAACAGCGATCATAGGATAGTCTCATTAATCATTTAAGCAGGCAAAAAAAAAAAAAAAAAAAAAAAAGAGAGAGAGAGAGAAACAAAACAGAACCATAAACGCTAAACATTTGTTGAGACTATGATGTTGCAATGGTAAATTTAGAGATGAAAATAATTTCATTTTTAAGAGACCACATGGAATTATTATAGCTTAATGGTGATGTAATTGTGGATACGTGTTTAACAAGTTGACTATGATTGTTAAACTACTGTGTGGTTCCTTTTTTTTTGTCCCTAAGATGCCATCAGAAGTGGATACACATTAATTAAATGTCCTCAGAGATTCTTTCCTTCTTCTTCATTCAGTTTTGTAGGAGGAAATAATGGTTCCTTTTAAGCTGAGTTAGAATAAAATGGTTTATTTATCCCTCTCCTCTGTCCCTCTACCTCTGTACAGCGGTACATCTACTACTGTGATCTTCTGCAGGACTGTATGATACAGGTGATGGAGACTGTTTGTTCACCGGACTTTTTTTTAAAAGAAGTTATCTATGACAGAAATATCTTAATGTCCGAAATAGTCCTTTAAATCAATTTTTAAGGGCAACAATTTGGTAGAACATTTATTTTGATAACAGTTTCAGAATTGTATAATTCAAAACTAGAAAGGATTAATCTAGATCAATGAGTTGAATGTTTGGGAAGTCTCAGATGTGGCTATATGGATTTTCATTAAATGTTGGATTTAAATATGGGAGGAATGTGTTAGGAATTTAAAACATCATGTCAGCTTGGGATTGTGAACTTAATTAAAAGCATTACTTTAGCCGGGCATGGTGGCTCATTCCTGTAATCCCAGCACTTTGGGAGGCCAAGGCAGGCAGATCACTTGTGGTCAGGAGTTTGAGACCAGCCTGGCCAACATGGTGAAACCCCATTTCTACCAAATATATAAAAAGTTAGCCAGGTGTGGTGGTGTGCACCTGTAATCCTAGCCACTCTGGAGGCTGAGGCAGGAAAATCTCTTGAACCCAGGGGGCGGATGTTACAGTGAGCCGAGATCATGCCACTACACTCCAACCTGTGTGACAGAGCGAGACTCCATCTCAAAAAAAAAAAAAAAAAAAAAAAAAAAAGGCATTACTTTAATTCTTTCACCTTCTTATCCATTAATAATACATGTAAAGACATTTCAGGTTTTATTTTGTATGTAATAATCTTAGACAAATTTGTCAGACTTTGGGCTCTGTAAAATGTCAATGTTGTATCTGATAAATAGAGTTTAGGTTGAAAGAGCAATTACAATTCTGGCAACATTTTGATTCATCATCTTTGAAATTTATGTTATTTAGGCTTTATTAAAGTATGGCTTCTTGCTCATCTTCTGTGTACCTTTTCCTCCCAGCCTTTGCCTGGGCCCTACTCAGCATAATGGAAATGTCTCCACCAAGCTGGTAGCAGGCTGAGCCATCATTGTGTGGGGTGGCCATAGTTTTCTTGATGTGGTATTTATCATTGAAGATCTTGGTGCTTTTTTACTTTTTTAATACTAAAGTGTTGTATTTTAAACACAAGCAATAGATTGACACTTACATAGCTTTTAAGTGATATAATGAATCAATAATATATTTATTACAACACTTAAAATAGAGTTTAATAAGTTTTTGGAAATTTTTTCTGAAGTGATAAAGTCAGTTATGATCATGCAGAATGACTGTTTTGATCACATGTAGTGACTTGAAATCTTAAAATGCATTTGATTACTCAGAACTACCCCACATCTAGAGGTCTATAAATGAACTGTTTTCAAAACCACATCAGTTATTGTCACATATTTCAGCAGTGGCATTCCTATGGTACATTACTGAGTGATTATAAATGAGCATGAGAAGTTCATTTATCTTATTTTTCTTTTATGATTATTTTTCTAGTTAAAAGAGTGAGTATAAATTTTAAAGAGTATATAACCTTATTCTTCTACCTATTTGGAAGTGAAATATTTTAGAGTCCTAAATGATGAACCCAGTTACTTCTATTAAAACTTAGGTATGGGGCTTTATGGAGCTATAATTGATTTGGAAAATTAGACAGTATCACCCCCATATTTCTATTTTTTTTGATGACAGACAGCGCAATATTCTAGACGAAATGGATCTTTACTCTTTTGATTCTTACCAGTTGCTTCTTCACAGCTGGTATCTGTGAAGATGGAATCTGTAGCAGAATTCAGCTGAGAGATAAAATTGCTCAATCAGCATTCAGACAGTAATAAGTAGATATGATTTTTTTCATTACTTTATGAATTTTACTGATAATTTTTTATTAAGTTCTTTGTTTCTATTGACTTTTACTGAAGATATATCAGTTTGCAATTGATTTGATAGGGAAAAATATAATGTGGTTCTCAGATATCTTCTGTCATTTAAATTTTTGAAGTGATTTTCAGAAACCAGCTGAAATTTATCTGATTAAAATGTTGTACATGATCAAATAAACCTTTTAAAATGATTCCAAATATCATATAAACAACATTTGTACCATTCTCAAAAAGTTATGTGGATTAAACTCTCACAGTTGATAATTTGGCTCTCCAGGCAATGAATCGCTCCCTGGCTAATGTGATTCTTGGAGGCTATGGTACTACTTCAACAGCTGGTGGAAAACCCATGGAAATTTCCGGCACACATACGGAAATCAACCTTGACAATGCAATTGATATGATTCGAGAAGCTAATAGCATTATTATTACACCAGGTAAAGAAAAAAAGCAAAAGCAAATAACCTATAAAGCTGTTATAATTGATGACGTTAAAATTTCTTATAATAGGAAAGTAGAATTGAAACTTCTTTAGTTTTGAAAATATGATGGAAACTTAATAGCACTTATATGATTACTAAGTGAAAAATACTGAGAATTCCCAGTTTAAGTTAATAATCTGGAGATCGCATGGTAATTCTATAAATTCTTACAGTGGGTTCTAGCCGTGTCTTTCTGTGATTATGTGTACATGTTTACATTGTTTTCGAGTCTTTTTTTTTCTCATTGGTAATTTTTGGGCCCATTGTCAAGACTGAATTAGATACAGTATATGAAAATCTTTAGCCCACTCATTAGAGTTGCTCAATAAATGTTATTCTTTTTTCAAAAATGATTATTTAAAAAATCATCAAGAATCATGTGGTTTTCAACAAAATGAGGCAATGTGGCCTGGTAGAAAGTGCTTTGTTTGGAGTCACGATACCTCACTTTTGTTCTTAATTAAGAATTCTTAATCTACGTGACATTACCCAAGTCATTTAATCTCTCCAGGCCTCAATTTTCTAGTTATCTGAGTTTTAGCTCTTCACTGTTATCACAGAATACTGTGGTATTATGGGTAATACATTGGTTTCAGATTAAGATTTTAACACTATCATGTTATCAAATGAGTTTTCTGTAAAGAAAATCTACTGATTTGACATGTGAGTAGTTTACTAGTTAGTTATGTACTGAAGTAAAAATAGGAGACATTAGCTGAGTGGAATGTTACAGTATAAACTTTCTCAACTTGGGACAATATCACTTTTTAGGGGCATTTGAAATAGGTGTATTTGGGTTTTTGGTTGTCCAAAGATGGGACTGCTACTGTCAGTTAGTGGATGGAAGCAGATAAATGAAATGTACTGTAATGTGTGGGGCACTGCTGCATAATGAATCATCACACCCCAAGTGTCATTGGTTTTATCTGTTGAGCAACGCTGTTCTGGAGTGTAAAGGTGTAAAGATGTAGAGGACACAATCTATTTCCTCTAGGCATTTTCCATCTAATGATGAAGTCAGATAGGTAGATCAGTAATGCAAGGTGGGTTATGATAAGGGCTAAACTGAACTATGTGCACAATTTTTTGATCACAAGAAACCTATGAAGGTTTGTAGGGAGAGGAGGATTTGTTTTTAGGCCTTAGAGGATAGATGGTGTTGGGATGGGAGAAGCCAGTGGGAATAGCTTGAGCAGAGACTTGGCATTTGAAAAAATGGGGATAGAAAAGCGGGGACAGATGTGAGATTCATTGTGCAGGTAGAATGGACAGAAAAGGCAGTGAAGATGACTGAAGTTCTTCGTTATACCTGTAATAACATCAGAAATATGGAAACAGTTTTTGGAGTGTGGGGAGGAAATTTTGAGTTCTTTTTTTGAGATATTAAATTTGAGGTGGAGATTGGGACAAGAGGCATGTTATACTGGGGCTCAAATGACAGGTCAAGCCTGCGGACAGATTGGGAATCACCAGATGGTTGTTGAAGTCATGAGATAAGCTGAGATTTTCAAGGAGATTGTGAGGGGCAAAGTTAAAGCCCTTTGGAAGCTTTGTCATATAAGCGGAGAAAAGAAGGAGATAAACTATTGAAGGAACTAGAGGAAGAATAGTAACAAAATTAGGCTGGGACAGGGGACTGCAGTGTCATCAAAGCCAAGTATGAAGAGAGTTTAAAAACACAAGAGAGAGAGAGAGACGGAGAGAGACAGAGAAAGAGATGAGAGGGAACACCCAAGGGTATGTGCAGTGTCAGGGGCGGGGGTGCACAGTGGTATTAGACACTACAGAAGATTGAGGAGCAATCATTACACTTTCAATTTCAAATATAGGGCAATATTTTTAAAAGCCAAGCTTATAAGTTTGCATTCATTTCTAGTCCTGTTAAATGATTGCCTCTCTTGGCATAAACATGTGTTTTGATCAAGAGAGAAGTTGTACTTCATGTAATTTCAAAATAAAAATCACATTCTTCTGTGTTCTTAATGTTCCTTGCAGGCTATGGTCTCTGTGCAGCCAAAGCTCAATACCCCATTGCTGATTTGGTAAAGATGCTCACTGAGCAAGGCAAAAAAGTCAGGTAAGCGTTTGCAGTGGAGAGGCTTGCAGTGTGTGTAAAGATGTGCGTGTGGAGAAAAGGAAATAGAGTGGACCCTTGAACAATGTAGGGGTTAGGGCACTGACCTGCCCATACAATTAAAGATCCATATATAACTTTTGAATCTCCAAAAACGTGCCTACTAATGGCCTACTGATGATCAGAATGCTTACTGATAACATAAACAAAATGTGTATCCATTAACAAATTTTGTGTTATATGTATTAAATAGTAGAGAAAGGAAAATGTTACTAAGAAAATCATAAGGAAGAGAAAATATATTTGCTATTCCTTAAGTGGAAGTGGATCATCATAAAGGTTTTAATCCTTGTCTTTATGTTGAATGAGATGAGAAGAAGGAGGAAGAGGAGGAGTTGTTCTTGCTCTCATGAGTGGCAGCGGCAGAAGAAAATCTATGGATAAGTGGACCCTCGCAGCTCAAACCCATGTTGTTCAAGGGTCAGCTGTAGATGGCTTCTGAAAAAGATGACTATTTCTTAAAGTGGTGTTTTACATATGTAATCCTAGGTAAAGAAGTTAAGTTGTTAACGAACAAGCCATATTCTGGTCTTAGTCTTACTATTTAGATTTTGCTGTCCCTGGATTAGCATCAACTCAAATATTATTGACTCATTTTAGAAAAGGAAAATTTGTTATTCCAAATTCTTGAATATTTATTAATGGGGAAATCAGAAGTCTTGTTTCTCTGTGGTTTGATTTGAGGAAAGAGGTCAAGCGAAGCATTTAAGTACATCAAGTTGTATCTTTTTGGTTTCTGGTCACACTGACTAAAGACAAAACGTCTTAAAAGAGAGGCCTTGAAGAGCAAGATCAAGTAATAAACCTGTGTGCTGGTTACTGTTTTGCTGAGTTATCTCTCATATACTCAGGGTGGAAAAGGCTGCTGAAAGTGTTCTTTTCATAAAGCTATTCATGTTTTGAAATATGAATCAGAGCAGCAGCTGTTCCTGCCACTTGCCATTTGGGCATTGGTCTGCTCTTGGGAGGATATTAAGCAGAATAGCAAAGTTGAGGGACTCTGTTTTACTAGCTTATTCTCCATGATGTTGGATAAAGGGTTTGAGGAACGTACAAATAGGGCCATTGGGTGATGAATGTGGTGACCCTCAGGGTACTTTGCATCTGTCCTGCTCAACTTTGGGTCCCCATTCTGGAACTCTGATATTACTTAGGAGTCAGAGAAGAGATCCTATGGAGTTATCCCTGGTAGGACAACTGTTGCCTGTTTTGTGGGGAGGCTGGTTCACTAGCAGTTGCATTGATGTGACACTGTAAGTCAGAGAGACAAGGTAACTCATTAAATAGAATTAGTTTGTTTACCAGGATGGTAATGTTTGTGGACAAAACTGTTAATTTCTGTTCATAAAAGTTTTAGACATCAACCTTATGCTTTTGTCTAGAGACAAAAGCATCATCTGATGAGAAAATAAGCCAAACAATGTTCCTAGAGCCAGCCAGAGTACTTGCGCTGGACTGGATGCAGAATCCTAATCTCTGGTTGGAATGTCCCAGCTACTAGTAGTGGTGAAAGAAACTTAGATGATGAAATCAGGGGGCTACCTTAATTGTATTAGTGTCAGCAGTTATGTCAGCCGCATTTTTATTTCTTCCTTCCTTTCTTTCCTATGCTTCTTTACTTCTCTCACTCCTTCTCCACTCCTTCCTCCAATCTACAGTTTGTGTTTGTCAAATATATAGAATCAAAATACTATTTTGTGGTGGGACCAGCATTTCTGTGATATGATTTTCATGTTTATTGAGAATCTTAGATGAATTGAAGATAGACGATGAGAAAAGTCATTGACTTTATTTTTAAATTTTTACATAAGAAGTCTACTTTTTAGTTACTTATTCCAATTTTTACATAGGATATTAAGCTGTGCTTTTTAAAGCCATCATTTTGCTACTGAGAACATTTGTAGGCCTGCAAGTGAAAAGGATGTGTTAAACAACGTTTTATGATTTTCCTAAAAAGAAACTGCTTTCTCTATTCAGTCCACATGTGAAAAAATCTAATGTATTCGTAATGCCCTCTTTCACCACATAAATGTTTAGGAGATGAGTGGCAATCATAATAGAGAAAGAAAAATGCCTTTCATGTCTTAGTTATCCTTAGGGAAGGGAAGGATTAATTTGACATACCTTTCTTGTAACCCGTTGATCAGCCTAGGTTAAATAGACATCTTGGAAAATCAGTCCAGTGTTAAATAGGTGGATGTGGAGTGAAGAGCATCATGACTGTAGTGCATCTGGAAGGAAGACAGGACCTTAAGGGAAATGTCAAAGGAAATAAGAGAGATGGGAAAAATGATCTGAAAGGAAAAAGGATAAGACAAATGAATTTTTTTGTTTCTGATCTGATTAAAATTAGAATTTTGTCTATGAGGACATGATATAAACTACTGTTGTAGGATGATTTCTGTGACACTGCTTGGGAAAAGTAATTATTCGATGAAAGGTTTATGAGAAATATTTAATTATACATATATGAATACTTTTTCAGCTCTACATTTTTTATTGAAGTAGTTGTGTAAATAGGACCAAAGACTTTTCATGAGAGAGCTTTTCATTGCTTCACATCATTGTTAACATAGTTCAAATACTTCTATAAATTTATTCATAATTTATTATGTAGGATCAGAATAAGATTATTAATTCAGTCTAGTTTCTCTATTTGTAAGTTATTTATAGTCATCTTTCTTTCATATTAAAGGTGAAATATATTAATATATTATAGTTTTTTTACTATAGTATGTTGAATTTTCAACATAAACTTTGTAACAAATTATGTAAATCTTCCATTTGAATTAAATGGAAAAGGACTATTCTTGCTAAAATGATGACAGTAGATCATCATATTTTTCTGTGTGAATTTTTTTATTGAAAGAGATTTGTAGAAACTGTGATTTTCTTGCGTGTATTATCTTTTCACAGAAGAAATGCAAATTTTCTTTATGAAGTTAGGAATATATATATACATAGATGCTAGCTTTTTTCCTTTTTTTTTTAAGGAGCAAATGTCTGTTTGAACAAGAGACGGCTGTAGCAGTTACCTCGTATTTTAATGAAATAAATCTGTATTTACAGTTTGCAGTAATTTAGTCCTTTCATCACTGTGTGGAGCTCCCACAGTGTTCATTGAGTACAGCTGCTGGGCCTCTGGAGTTAGTAGGTCTTTGTGCCTCAGGACCCCAGCATGCCTAGCATCCAGATGTGGTGACATATTCACACACATCCCCTGTGGAAATGTGCCAGTGTGGACATATGATTGTCATCAATTAGTTACGCCCAAGTGGTGCCAAGAAAAATTGCATCTGTCATACAGTCTGTCTGGCTTCAAGGCCCATGATTGATTTAGAGACACTCCTGTTTTCCTTTACTTTGGCCATAGTCATAACATGCTCACGAACTAAGATTATATAATGAAGCACATCACATTGCATGACAATAACTCATTTTAGAATGTCATGAAAGTTCACTGGCTTAGACTTTCTTTAGTGGCCAAGATATCATTTGCTTCCCAGTAGCCCAGAATGCCTGTATAGCTTACCTAACTTCTACTTGATGTCTAAAAGGATTTTATGACAACAATCTTATGACGTAAGAGCCACAGATATTTTTTATTTTTCCTTCCCAATTTTTGGATTGATTATATGATAGGTTTTTCATTGTAAGGCAGAGATAGTGTTCCCATTGAGTAATTAGAAAGGGGTAGAATATGCCTGTAATCCCAGCACTTTGGGAGGCTGAGGCAGGGGGATCAGGAGGTCAGGAGATCAAGATCATCCTGGCTAACATGGTGAAACACCGTCTCTACTGAAAACACAAAAAATTAGCCAGGTGTGGTGGTGTGCGCCTGGATTCCCAGCTACTCGGGAGACTGAGGCAGGAGAATGGCGTGAACCTGGGGGCAGAGCTTGCAGTGAGCCGAGATCGTGCCACTGCACTCCAGCCTGGGTGACAGAGTGAGACTCCATCTCAAAAAAAAAAAACAAAACAAAACAATAAGGGGTAGAATTTTTTTCTTTTTTATAATTAATTACTTCTTGATTTTCTTTCTATAAATCGTTATTGCTTGAATTATCACAGAAGTCATTTGAATTTATTAAATACCTTTCAACTTTTTTTTAAAAATTATTTTTGTTTTTGAGATGGAGTTTCACTGTTGTCACCCAGGCTGGAGGGCAGTGGCATGATTTCAGCTCACTGCAGACTCTGCCTCCTGGGTTCAAAGCAATTCTCTTGCCTCAGCCTGCCAAGTAGCTGGGGCTGTAGGTGCACACCACCACACCTGGCTGATTTTTGTATTTTTGGTAGAGACGGGGTTTTGCCATGTTGGCCAGGCTGGTCTTGAACTCCTGACCTCAAGTGATCCGCCTGCCTCGGCCTCCCAAAGTGCTGGGATTACAGCCGTGAGCCACCGCATCTGGCTTCAACTTCTTTGAGTGACTAACTGATATTATGTATTGCTTTCATGTTAATGTTCTACCACATCCTTCTGTTAATAACTTACTGAGAAATTTATTGCTAGGTACTGAGCATACAAGGATGAATCAGTCCAATTCTCAAAAGTTTATAGTTATGAAGAAATCACTATTAACAGATCAATCAGTGAATGAATTCCATTTAATGTGATAGCATGCTAAGACAAGTAGAGTATTAGTAAGAATACAAGGAGTAGTTAGCTGTCCAGGAGATATTTTAAACTTTTTACAAGCTGAAATATCTTGCATGTTTTTTAAAATAAATATTTTAATTTATTTTTTATGTACTGTCTAAACACATCTAGCTGCCTGTGATATTTGCAGTCTAATAATGTTTACAGTCTTGTGTAATATGGCTATAGGTTTAAATACATGTTATTTTTACTTAGAAATTGATTCTTTGAAGATACTTGAAAATATAAAATATTTTGTCCATCTAACTAACTGGATTTTGTTGTTGTTGTTGTTGGAATTTCA